CTGAGATTCAAACTGCCCAGACAGGAAAATGAATTCAAATTTTCCCGAGGGTGTGGCTGGTCAGAGCATCCGAGCTCGGACTGCTGTCCAGAGCGTCAACAGAGTGGTGCACTGTGGGATAGCTCCCGGAGCTATTAGCGTCGATTTCCATCCACACCTAGCCTAATTCGATATGGCCATTTCGAATTTAGCGCTACTCCTCTCGTTGGGGAGGATTACAGAAATCGATTTAAAGAGAGCTCTATGTCGAACTAAATGGCTTCCTGGTGTGGACGGGTGCAGGGTTAATTCGATATAACGGCGCTAAATTCGACATAAAAGCCTAGTGTAGACCAGGCCTAACAGTCAAATGTTTAACTTTCTGAGGAAAAATACTTTCAGTGGTGAAGTTTTTTGTCTTCTTAGCACAATCACATTTTGTGTCCTTGTCGGTGGCTGAGAATAGACTTCCCCATTCACTAACAGCAAGTTGACTTGGCTTATGCATTCCTGCCTAACTGGTTCTTCAATCTACTTTCTGATCAGTTTATGCTTCATTTGAGCAGGGAATGGAGCAATATAAGGATTGAATAATGCTTTATTACATTTTTACAGTTAAAACTAAAAAAGAATATAAAAGATGCGTGTACCATGGCCAAGTGAATTTTAATGTTCACTTCAGAAATAACCTTACAATTGAATAACTTAATTTTTTTTTTTTTTTTTTTTTGCCTGTAACTACTGTTGCCTGTATAAGGAGGGTGTACTAACTCTGCCTTACCTACCATAGTCAAGCCAAGAAAAACTCCACAGTTATAGATGTATGCTTCAGATACCAGTCCTTTTTTGACTTTAGAATTGGTTTTTCAAACTTTAAAACTTCAGTGGGGCAAATCAATGATCTCTTTTCAAGTCTGGAATTACAAATGCTCTCTCAGACCTATGTATGTGCATACAGTACCCAGATCCTTTTTGTGGTCTTTGGGCCCTATAAAAATAATAGATCTTTTGTCTGCATAAGACGGTGTTTTAAGCTAGTGAAATCTAGAACTTGATACCCAAATAGATTAAGCAGGTGCAATAACTCTTATATTTCCCCTTTCTTTATATAGGCAGTTGGCTAAGCTGCAGGCTGACCAGAAAAATGAAGATTGTAAAGCAGGTAAAGGAAGAAAATAAAAATCTTTCCAGTTTTTAGCTAGTGGTAGGTTTTAAAATGCCTGTGTTTTTGTTTAACTCGAATTGTTTCACTTGAAATCAACCTGCAGTGCTGAATAAATTAACAGTGTTCTTAGCTCATTTTCGGGCAACTAACTTTAATAGCAGAAGTAAAATACACTGTATGCAGTATTGCATCAGTCATTGAAAGTTACTGATTGGGCAACACTAGAGTGTCTGAATTTTATATGCAACCTGACGACGACGATGATGATGATGATGATGATGATGATGATGATGATGATGATGATAGAAGCCAAGAACAGTACTTGGAATATGTAAAACTCTAGGTTTTGCAATCAACTCCTCATTGTTTACAGTAAACTGGTAATCCTATAATTAAAACCTGTGAGTTTATAATCAAGTTTAGGTTTTGTAAAGTGTTTTTGATCTAAGGTGATTATTTTGTGTACAATTTTAACTGTGTGGTACAGTAGTGATTATCTCACTCTGTGTGTGTGTGTGTGTGTGTGTGTGTGTGTGTGTGTGTGTGTGTGT